GGACAAGAAGAAGAGAAACATCAACATCCTAGATGATCTTTACTTCGAAGAGAACTGACCAGGTATAGAGATTCTATATTTTCAGTATTTGTGTATTCATTGTTTATACATCTCAGAAATCCATGGGACAAGAAGAAGAGAAACATCAACATCCTAGATGATCTTTACTTCGAAGAGAACTGGCTCATTAACAGCATCCTCTCACGAAAGCTGAAGCATTCTGGCCACCGTAAAACGGTGATGGAGGAGTACAGTTTCCGGGGAAAAAAGGCTAAAGTCGACTTTCGTGAACCTGGACACAAGACACTGAGGATGCGTTTGTTATGAAAGCACACAGGGTTGAAGCTGAAGAAATGGCTAGAGATATGTTTAGACACACAGAAACGAAACTGACCTTCGGTCAAAAACCTGCTGATTGATAAAGATAAGGCCTATAACATTTTGACATTATTTCAAATATATTATTACTTTGTAGCCATTCAGCACACAATAACAATTATTATTATTTTTTATATTGATTTATAAAGTCTTCGGGCCCTTAAAGCACCCCTTCCAGTTATGTAAAAAAAAAAAAAAAGTTTAAGCGCCAACAACGTTTTATTTGAATCTGTGCCCCAGAAGTTACCATTTTAGACTAGGTCGGCATGCGAATCAAAATTATTTTTTGCTTCAATTCCGCCTGGTGGGAATCCAAACCCAAGATCTCCAGACCAGTAGGCAGGCTACCGCGACTGCCATTCTATTTGTGTTTCATATTTGAGGCTCTTTATGGTGAAGTAGTCATACCTTTTGCTTCGCACACTGAAGGTCGTGCATAGTTCAGTTAGCGAGTGCAAGTTTAGCGGAGACGCATGGGGATCGCCACCATAGCTACAGTGTTCATGCTGCATGCGACGCCTTTGACAGGCGGCTAGCTGTTCTCGGAAGAGAGACTATGCCCTGTGGGATAAAATCCGATGCTATGATGACGATAATCTAGACTTTCACCTTTAACTTTAACCCTTTTGTATTTTCACCTTGTTTTTTCTTTCTATTGGTGTGCACGTCATCAGTCCGTGTTTGTTAGTTTCATATTTGCACAGGAAATGGGAACGCTATCAACAAAAACAAAATGTCTGTCATTTATATTTCCGCTGTGCGTGTCTTGCTGGCGAATTCCAAATATTTCATTCTTACCTGTCCTGTCCAAAAGCCTAGTGTAGCGCTATTTAGTAACACGGTAAAGAATCTACAGAAGATGGAGAGAGAGAGAGAGAGAGAGAGAGAGAGAGAGAGAGAGAGAGAGAGAGAGAGAGAGAGAGAGAGAGAGAGAGAGAGAAGGTGGGAGAAAGATAGAGCGAGAGAGAGATGAAGGGCTAATGATGTATGGCTAACGGAAGAATGGGGGTGTGGTGGGGGCTGAGCAGAAGTCTTGTTTAAGTGCTTAACAACAACAACGACAACAACAGCAGCTGCAGCAACAACAACATAACAGTAATCTGCTAAATGGAGGACCAAAAAAAAAAAATAATATATTTGAGATACTATAATACGCACACACAAAAACTTGACAATAAAAAAAGTTTATGTTTAGGAGCAGGGAGCTGGTTAGGCTTCTTGCAAATATCGGCGGAGGTGGGGGCTGAAGGTATCCATCTCATTAGAATCTATGGGTAGTAAGCGCGCGTCCATGCTGAAAAGAAAGAAAGAAAGAAAAAAGTCTTTTGCACACACGTGTTGAAAATCGACAATAATGACTGCAGCTTACCTCCCTCGCGAAATATCATTTTCGTACAAAACATGGGGGGGGGGGGGGGGGGGAGACGGGTCTTAGTGCACACCCCCATCCCTAATTCCCGCCTTTAAGGGGGAGGGGGAGTGGTCTAGGTGCATGGCGTCCGCCTCGAGTGCTAAAGATCCTAGGTTCAAGCCCCTATGAAGGCTGGAATTTTTTTCACATGGAGTCCTAGTAATTTCCCCTGGTCTCTGGGTAGTAAGATCGGACGTCCGTGTGTATTGTTTGCAAACGTAAAAAAAAATCCCCTGACAGTTTGAACTCGAAAAAAATAGCCTAACGGCGCTGTCCGGGAACAATTTTGAGTTAAAAATCTGAACAAAGATTTTCACGATTCTCGCCGGCGCTACGGAGTTCGTGCACTGTGTTGAGATTTTTCGGACTAGGTTTAAGTTAGAAGTAGAACGCAGCACTTATGGGTGACACGATGTTGATCTTTTGTATAAACCTAAAACCTTAAACGCTGTTAAACAAGAGGCCATTTTTTATCTGCATGTCCTTGAGTCTTACATGAACATTTACCTTTGGTGTGTCTCATTTCTGTGTCCTTTAGTTACGGTGTGTATTTTCTCTCCTTGATGCAGTTTATTTTTCAGTACATTTTAAATAACAATATAAATTCCGCAGCGGTTGATATTGTTTTAAAACCGCTGCCAGTTTACCGCAGTATGATGAAAACTATTGTGATCTGCAGTTATGCTACATTTATTTTCTAATTATTATTTTTGGGGGGATTGTTTTGCCTGAATTTGATGTAGTTGTAAGTGCAGAAATTAAACAGAAGTTTATAAGTGGTAATTTCAGCACCTAACAGAACGAATTTGTTGTTCAGGTGACAGGAGTAAACAACTTCCTTGATCATTAAGGTGAGTCAAGTACGGGTGTTAAAGCATGGTATGCCTTTACAGGAATGCAGATTTAATTATCCTGTCTGCTTGTATACCTGCTTACCTACGTACCGTCTTAAGTACTTACCTAACTACCTACCAACATACCGACCTACCGAAAGGGCTTAATAATAATTTTAGATTTGATTTGATTCAAAAACCGACATCACAGCACTCGGGGCATTCCCATAAGCGCCCCGTCCACATCTTCAGCAGCCAGCGAAGAGTTACGATACTAATGGTGTCAGTAGTATTCTGATTAAACGTCCGTCTTGCCTTTCCTCTGAGCCTCGAGCATCTGCCAGAACCTCTCGTCACTCCTCCCTGCATCAATCTCACCAGACTGTGGTGATCCATCTGCTACTTCGAACTGTACACGCTCTCCCACAAGGCACTAACCACGCCTACCTTATCATGTATCAGTATTCCACCAAGTTGTGCAGAGCCAGCCAGTCTGTCCGCCTGTTCATTTCCTACCACTCTAATTTTAGAGCAAAATAATAATAATGCTGTGCAGAATGACACAAACATAAAATAACATATTTGAAATAAAATAAAATATATAAATAAACTATTTCAACGAGAATGTACGCCAAAATATTTTTTTTCCAATTCAGTGTGTTGTTTTCATTGCACTTGCAAGACATCAACTAAGCTGCATCTAGATACGTATGTTAATTAATTTTGTGTGTTCGCATGGTTTCGTTTGATTTCTGCATGTGCTGATGAAAGCTCTCTAGCCGCAACGTTCTCATTTTGTGTGTGTTTGTTATATGAAGCTCGCTGATATACTTTTCGTTCAGTTTTATATCTTTCTTTAAAGGTCAGAAGTGGCACGTTTATGACTGCAAGCATTGACCTGTTCTGCAAGATGGAGATCGACGCTCTCTAACATTTGTCGGGGCTTCAAAGGAAAGGACGTATTATATTGCTGTTATTTTTTCGGGATTTGCGTTTTCTAACTCTCTCTTTCAATCCCCCTCTCCTTTTCTCGTGTGTGCGCGGCAGTGTGTGTGTTTGTGTAAGCATGCATGTTCTTACACTAGCCATTGTGTGTGTTCATGTGTTTTTGTCTAACACTAGACAGATGCATGAGAAAAAAGCAGTATGTCTTAATCAAGATATTTATTTTAAATATTATCTGCGTGTGCTTGCTAGTAGTTCATTCAAACAGATAAGACAGTTCGTGGAGGTTAGTTTCTGGCAGTGTTTGGGAGATAACCTGGAATTGACCGCGCTCAGGGTGTGTATGTTTAAACGTTAAACCAGATGTAATGTGTTTCTTTTGTTTGGTCTGTTTATCCGTTTCTGCATGTTTGTCTGGAAGGAAACAGTCACAATTAGTTGCCTTTTACGACATGCTTGTTAGTGGGCAATGTAACCAACGGTGCTCAAATAGTGAAGTTGTAAGTTTCACTCTAGCAACCTCTTGAACTTCCACTCTAGCAACCTCTTGAACTTTTACTCTAGCAACCTCTTGAACTTTCACTCTAGCAACCTCTTGAACTTTCACTCTAGCAACCTCTTGAACTTTTACCCTAACAACCTCCTGAACTTTTACTCTAGCAAACTCTTGAACTTTTACTCTAGCAACCTCTTGAACTTTCACTCTAGCAACCTCTTGAACTTTTACTCTAACAACCTCCCGAACTTTTACTCTAGCAAACTCTTGAACTTTTACTCTAGCAACCTCTTGAACTTTCACTCTAGCAACCTCTTGAACTTTTACTCTAGCAATCTCTTGAACTTTCACTCTAGCAACCTCTTGAACTTTAAAAAAAAAAACAACTTAATAGTGTCTAATTTATGCGACAAAGGTGACTCCAAGTAACTTTACAAATTGTCTTTTCTCTCCCCTCCCCCCACTCCTAGTTCAGGTGTTTCAGAACAACAGATCAGTAATGTAACGGACAAGGCCTCCACACACAGATTACGAGGGCGGCTCAGCCCCGGCCCCACTCACACATTTCCTAAGGCGTTGGCCCAAGGATTATATGCCTTGTTTAAGTGCGTGACAATAACAACAATTTGATGATTGACGAATAGATATACTTATCTATGTGAGATAATATAAAAAGCATACCACACGCATAGTTAAAAAGAGAGTACATCTATATATCGTGAGGGTGGGGGGGGGGGGGGGAGAATTTTGTTCACTGGGCGTCCCTCTCCATAAAACTTTTTCTGTAAGGGAAGTGACTCAAGGGCTGATGCCCACAAGCTCCGGCGTCCGTGGACTAGAGTACTCATTACACCGCAGTAGCTTTTTCTGCATTTGCAAGAGTGAAATACCAATCAATAAAGTGTTTGATATCTTGGTTTTCTGCAGGAACAAGAGA